GCACTGTATGTCAACAATCTCGATTTGTGAATCAAATGTAATATTTCCAAATTTGTTGACCACAAAACTAGGTGGCATTGTAAAAGGTGAAGAGAATGTCAGGAGGCTTCAGTGCGACTTGAATAAGTTGAGTACGTGGATAAATACATGTCAGATGCTGGTATAACGTGGATAAGTGTGACGTTATCCAGTTTGGCAAGAAAAATGAAATTGCAGACTGTCATATAACAAGTGATAGATTGGGAAATACTGATCACAACAGAACCTGAGTGGCCTTCTACACCAGTCACTGAAATAAAGCTTTAAGTGCATCTGCAGTTGAGAAGGCAAATGGCTTGTTGGCCTTCATTGTAAAAGTGATTGAATGCAGGAACAAGCATATCTTACTGCAGTTGTACAGACTGAGATGAGGATTCAACTGTACTGTGTGCAGTTTTGGTCCCTTTATGTAGAAGATCATCGATCATAGATCATAGAATCCCTACAGTGTGGAAACAGGCTGTTCGGCCCAACAAGCCCACACCGACCCTCGGAGCATCCCACCCAGACCCATCCCCCTCTAACCCACCTAATCTACACATCCTTGAACACTTTGGGCAATTTAGCATGGCCAATCCACCTTGCCTGCACATCTTTAGACTGTGGGAGGAAACCGGAGTACCCGGAGGAAACCCATGCAGACACTGGGAGAAAGTGCAAACTCCACGCAGACAGTTGCCCGAGGGTGGAATTGAACCCGAGTCCCTGGCGCTGTAAGGCGGCAGTGCTAAAACTGAGCCACCGTGTCCCCTCAAATGTAGGGATGGATATACTTACAGTGAAGGTCGAGCAGACTGATTTTTTTTTTTTGGGTTGGCAAGATTGTCGTGTAGGTGAGATTGGGTTGGCTATGCCTGAATTCATTGGAGTCCAGGGGATATGACTGATATTTATAAAATGCCGACAAAGCTTGACAAACTGGAAGCAGGAATGATATCTCCACTATCTGGGAATGTATAAAACAAGGGAACACAGTCTTCGGAAATGAGCTAGGCCATTGAGGATGGAGAATAGGAGAAATTTAGTCACTTAGAGGGTGATGAGTCTACCTTGCTTTGGAGGCCAAGTCACTGAATAGGTTAAAGAAAAGAATAGATTTCTGCAAATTAAATCGTCAAGAAGTATGGCAAGCGGGCAGGAGGATGACATTTAGATTGGGTTTCAGCCACAATCCTCCTGAATAATGGAGCAGGTTCAATGGGCTGAATGACCTCCTCCTAATCCAATGTTCTGTATTTCTATCAGCTATCCTCTTCCCCTTTTCTTTAGCAATCTATCATAACTGCAATTTCTCACCCCAGATCCATTACTGTAAAACTGTTTTGAACTGCCCTGCCCCCTTTAGTGATTTATGCACATTTACGCCCAGGTTTCTCTGCTCCTGCACACACTTTAGGATTGAATCCTTTGTTTTATACTGATTCTCTAAGTCCTTACTACCCAAATGTATCACCTCACACTTCTCTGCATTGAACTTCATCTGCCACCTAACTACCCACTTGACAACTTGTCAGTGTCATTTCAGTTTTACACGGTCTTCCCCACAATTTACAGTGATTCCAGGTTTTGTATCATTTAGAAACTTGGAAATTGTCCCCTCTACCAAGTTCCAGATTGTCAACGTATATTAGGAAAAGCAGGGTTCCTAAAACTAATTCCTGGAGAATCCTACCATGAATGATTCTCCAGTTCAAAATATCCATTGACCATTACACTTTGTTTCCTATCCCTCAACCAATTTTTTTTTTTTTTTTTACCCCAATTGCTATTGCCCCTTTTAATTCCATGAGCTATAACTTTTCTTACAAATCTGTGTGGTACTAAATTTAACACCTTTTGGAAGTCCATGGGCACCACATCAACAGTTTTGCCCTCATCAGCGCTCTGTTATTTTTCCAATAAACTCCAGCAAGTTAGTTAAATACAGTTTCCTCTCAAGAAATTCCTACTGCTTCTTAATTTACCCACCTCTTGTCATGCAACTGTTAATTCTACTCTGAATAATTGTTTCAAGAACTTTCCCCACCTCTAAAATTAAACTGACTAGTCTGTACTTGCTGATCTTAACATGTATCCTTTCTCTAAATGTAGGTGTGACTTTTGCAATTCTCCAGTTCTCCAATAGCACTCTGGAGTTCCAAGGAATATTGAAAAATTACAGCCAGTGCATCTTCAATTTTCACTTTCACGTTCTTCAGTATCCTTGGATGCATCTCATCTGGTCCTGGTGTCTTATCAAATTTAAGTATAAATGGCATATTCATTACAGTCACATCATTTTATCAATTTTAAACCATTCTAATGACTGTCCCTCTCTGTTACACCGGCTCAGGCGGCATCACCTTCCTTATAAAGACAGATGCAATGCATTAATTTAACACCTCAGCCATGTGTAAATACTCTTTTTGGTCTCTAATCATACAGTGCTCCTTTTACCATCCTTTTTCTGTGTATGTGCCTACAGATGACTTTAGGATTTCACTTTGTTTGCTGCTAGACTTCTTTCTTAATCTGTCTTGCCTACTTTGATTTGCATTTTCACTTCCCTTTGAACTTCCTGTATTCAGATTAGTTCTCATTGTATTTTCTACCTGGCACCTGTTATAAGCACACTGTTTTTCTTTTTTCTTTTTATCTTAATTTCTGTCTCCTTTTCAGGCAGGGAGCTCTGGTTTGTTTGTCCTACCTTTGGCCTCAACTATGCCTGAACCATCTCATCTTTGAAGATAGTCCATTGTTTAGCTAAAGATTTTCCCCCCCAACCCTTGGTTCCGGTCTATCCAACCCATTGTTCTTGCCCCATTAAAGTCATCTATCTTCCAGTGAATTGTTTTACTGTGGGTTGTCGTGTCCCATTGTCATCCTGAACCATATGATGCTATGATTACTGTGCCCTAGGTGCTCCCCCCGCTGATGCTTGCTGTACTTGGCCCACCTTGTTCCCAAGAATTGGGTGCAGTCTGCCTTTTTTCTTGTACTGAACAAGTACTGCTGTAGAAAATTCTCCTGAACACAATATAGGAATACTTGTCCCTCTGGGCTCTTTACACTACCACTATTTCAGTCAAATTCGGGTAATTAAAGTTCCTCATTGCAGTTACTGTATGATATTTTCACCTTTCTATAATATCCTTGCAGATTTCTTCCTGTACACCCTTCCACTAATTGGTGGTCTATAGACTACGCTGAGCAATATGATTGCATCCTTCTTGCCCCTTTGTTCTAGCCAAATCAACTCTGTCTGTGAATACTCCTGAGAAATCCTTTCTGCAGCACCACAATGCTGTCCTGAATCCAAAAAAATCTTTTTTCTTTTTCCTATCTTTTCTAGACACCATATAGTGGGGAATATTTAAAGCCAGACCTATCTTTACTTGAGTCACGTCCCTGTTATAGCTTGAGCATCATTATTCTGCACTTGAAACTTAAAATTCTTATTGACTATATTCTGTACATTAGAATACATGCAGTGTAACCCTGATTTATATCTAATTTCCTTTTCTTTTCTTGCACTCTGCGGTATTATTGTCTAATATATTTTCTGATTTACACAGTCCTGCTGAATTAGTTTAAAATCCTCCCAACAGCACTAGCAAAGTACCCTGCCAGGAATTCAGTCCCAGGCTATGTTCAGGTGTAATCTGTCTAGCCTGTACAAGTGTAATCGTTTCCAATGCCCCAAGAATAAAAAGTCCTCCCTCTTGCACTATCTTTCCAGCCACGCATACTGTTTTATCCTTTTTCTTTATATACAAATACATGGGCACTGGGGTAATATTTTCGAGGTCCACCTTGCTAATTTTCTATCTAGCTCCATAAATTCTGCCTGCAGGACCACGAAGCCAGTCCTACCAATTTCATGGGTACCAACATGGACCATGACCTGTGGATGTGCATTATCTTCTCTCTACCCTGTTTCTCTTGGACTACTTTGCGGTCACCCATTCCCTGTATGCCCTATCCTGTGGAGTGATCATCTCTCTGAACATACTGTTTACATAGTTCTGTGCCTCATGGATGCACCGTAGTGATTCCAGCTGTTGGTCAAGCACTGAAATCTGTAGTTAGTGACGTGTGCTTGTATAGATTATGTGGGAAGTTGTGGGCAATTCACATGTCATAGATTGGGCATTCTACTTAGCTGTGCTGCCATGCCACACTTGTGTACAATTTGCTATAAACTTAAAATTTTCTTGCTGTAGATTGACTGACAGACAAACAGTCTCCCAATTGAGACCAGTCTTTAACAGCGACTGCTCAGGAAGGAATCCCTCCTCCACCCTCAGCAAGCCTAACTTGTTGCATTGAACTTTATTTAAAGCATCTTTCTCCTTGTTTACTGTGCGCCTTTCATGGCCATCAACTGGGACTCAATCCCAAAGTTTCTGGCTCAGAGATAGGGACGCTGAGCACTGTACCCCACGACCTCTACTGTTTGTAGGCTATAATTATCTCCTGTTGGATACCAGGGCATAATGCTGGCTTCCTAGATGCATCTAAGCAGTGCTTTTTAAAAAAAAAAAAAACAGCTTTCCAAAGAAACAAAAACAGAAATTGCGGGTGAAATTCTGGCAGCATCTGTGGGGAGAAAGCAGAACTAATGTTTTGGTTCTGATGAAGAGTCACTGAACTTAAATTGCGAACTTTGCTTTCTCCCACAGGTGCTACTGGACCTGCTGAGTTTGGCTAGCACTTTGTTTTTGTTTCACATGTCCAGCATCCGCAGTTCTTTGTTTTATTTAGCTTTCCAGAGTATGTGGACTGATATGATATGTAGAATATCATTTTTAACCATATGTGGAATGTGATTAATACACAATTCAGCATTGAGCCTGTAATTAAGTATATTTAAAGTGTCCAACAATCTTTCAAATTGGATATTGACAATATATTTTGATTTACTTTTGATTTGAAATGTGAAATTTCCTATTTAAAATTTTCTTTGTTTGTTCATTTTAAAGCTTGTGGAGCAACATTGATTGAGCATTGCCTGATGAAGTTTGGATTCTCTAGTAATGCAAAAATAGATGAAGATTTTGATTTGTCCAAAGGTAAATCTGTAGGAGCGGTGAAATTTCTGCATGGTTTTTGAATTTTGCTTTTTTTTTTTTTGCAATGCTATTCAAACTGTTTTTATAAAGTGCGTTTTTGTCTTTAAATTTATCACTGGTTTTTGAAATGAATTAAACATTACACTAAAAATGTAATCACTTGATTAATGAAAGCAAGTATTTAAATTCTTTTGGAAATTGTGCATATTTTCAGTTGTTTTTCTGCTTTATTTTTCACAGTATTAAATTCTGCTTTGATCATATTAAGTTTAATTTTTTTTCTTTCTAGATGGAGTGAAACTTTTGGCTGCTCTACACTCGGCTGAGGAATTTATGGAGATGACAACTAACTTTAAAGGACAGGTAGACTTGTGGATTAATTTCCTTAGTGTTTCTAAATCACCTTTTTTACTGCATGTTATTTTCCATTCTGTAAATGCATCTCATTGTCTTTGATACCATGTGGCCTAGTGTCTACTTAGCTCATTGCAAATTTTGGATATAGCTCTAGAAAAAGGAATGTCAAAATCTGTAGATGATTTTAACATAGAACAAAAGTTAATTCCTTAAAATATTTTAGAAACCTTCAGAAGAATTTTAATAGGATGTAACAGTGGACTAAAAATGTCAGCTTGAATGCATTCAGTGTGAGAGAATACATTTTGGTTTAGATAGTATAATGGTAGTGAATAGATTCTGAATGGAAATGGGCTTAGTGCTTTGGAAAAGCTCAGTGATTTTGGGGCAGAGTGTAGGCTCACAGAACATTTCAGGCTACGCATCAGGTTAACAAAATGAAAAGTGAATGAATTCTAGATTTCATGACGACTATGCAATTTACAAGCTAACAGCAATGATGAACCTATATTAAGTATTAATAAGATACCACTTATAGTACTGAATGTAGTATTGAGGATTTTGGAGAGACTATAATACAGGCTAACTAAGATGCTTCTTGAGTATTGCTGAAAAAAAGACATTTTATCAAAGCTTTTCATTTTGTACTCCTAAAGACAATTTTCAAGAGTATGAATCCAAAGAAAATCTTTTTTATTTTTTATTACGTGAGGTGAGGGTTTACTGGTTGCCAAGCAGACTGTGGTGCAGGTGTTGCCATCGAACTGCACCTGTTGCTGCTGATTGACACTTAACCATCAGATTTGGTTTACATTTTAAACCAGGAGGTTGACTCTAATTAGCTAGGGCATTGCCCTAAGAAATGAACCAGCAAATGGCAGTCACCTATTTTGTTGAGTTGAAACAGGTGCAGTGCATTTGCTTTATTTACTGCCTGCAAAGGACAGGGCCCTGCTTCTTAATATATGTAACTTCCAGTGTATGCAAGTGCACAACACAATGATCCTGACTGACGACAATAAATCAGTTGTCAGTATAATTCCTTGCACATGGAATTATTCAGAAAATGTTGCCCAAATACAGATTCACAACTTATGTTGGACACTATGTTGTAAGTTTTACAAGTACAAGCTGGTTGGATTTAATCAGTACCTTGCTTGTGGTGAATAATAAAAGGGTCACACTGATATGATCTGCCAATTTTTGAGATGTATGGCCTATGTTGTTGGCATCACACCAACACTGAAATTCAGATAGCGTATTGCTAATTTATGTGTAGAGTAGTAATTTTGGCTTGGTAGCAGTATCTTGTTAGTCCATTCGTGATGTTAGGGCGTAGCAGAGTGAAACAGCTGTTTCATCTGTTACTCGAAGTGTGATCTGAGGTAGAATAGGCACTTTTCAAGACCAAGAGTTGCTGCCTTAGGACCTTTCATGCGCTTACGCCATATACATTGGGAAACTATTTGCACAGGGTAGCTATTATCTCGTAGGGTGGCTTTAATGCATCTTATTCCAGCATCACTAACTGGTGAGTTAAATTTCAATCGCACCATGTTTGCCAAAATAAATGGTGTGGACATGGGATCCCTAGGCCCAGCTCTTGCAAATATTTTTGTTGCATTCGATAGAATGATGCTTCTGCTCCTATCTCTCACGGACTTCATGAGCTCCATAATGCTGCAAGTTTGAAATGGAGCAATTAAATGAGCTCCCTTTACTCGATCTCCTCGTTGAGAACAGCAGGGGTTTCTCTAGTACTGTCAAACCTACTTTCACTGGCCAGTGTGTACATTGGGTTCCTACAGTTCCAAGTGCTACAAGATTGGCCTTTACCAGAAATCTTGTAAATATGGTGCGAGCCATTTGTTCACCATGCAAAATGACGCTGAAGTGGCAAGTACCACTTACGTTAATACTACATAGTAGCAGTTAAAACCTTTTAATGGTATGAATAATTAACAAGTTTTTTTTTTAGGGATGCTTTCTGTAGTTAATTTTTGAGAGCCAGGATACGATTTTCTTTCAAAAAAAAAAACAAAATACAGTGCAAGCTGGAAATATGAAATGAAAACAGAAATTGTTGGAAATCCAACTTGGCACTAGTCTTGGAAAGTGACAGTATTAACATGTCAAGTTTGTAGATTCATCAGAACTTGGACAAGTTAGACATTTAATAGTTTTTAAGTAGAAAGGGGAGTATGGTGCAAAAAAGAAAAGACTGCATTAGGTTAGAAGACAGTCAAGATTAAGTGACAAATTGTTTTATTGTGCAAGACCAAAGCAGATGGTATTGGAAGAAGAAAAACAAAAGATACACTCAATCTTACCCAATTTCTGAACGTGTAGGTAATGGTGAGTCAGTTGGGAAAATATGGTAAAGTCAAAAAAGTGACATTCTTGACTGAGGAAAATAAAGCCTGATTTCTTTTTATAATCAAGTTTGGAAAGGTGAAGTGAGAATCTCACTCGTGAGTGTTGAGAGACCTATTTGCATATATTTACATCTTGTCATGACTCAAATGCCCCTCATTTATATATTTATCTATTCTACCACACTTTGGAAAGAAACTACAGGCATCAGTTCCTGGCACCAAATTCATAGAGGGTCCCAGATGGCTGCAGCTCTCCATGTTCCTCTGGGCCTCAATCGCGGACACCAGTCCATAACATCTCACATTAGGCTCCACAAGCAGTGACCACTGCAGTCCCTTGTCCATGGGGGTTTGGCACCAAACAAGCACCTGCTTCATCACAACATCATGGCACATCTCATTCACTTAGAATACAGTTCTCCACTTCAGTACTGCACTTTGGAATGCACTGTACATTTTCATTGTAATCCTTCTACCAGGACACTGGCACGTTGGGGACAAACACCTATATCATGGATTGGACCAGAGTGCATCTCAGAGAGTGGGCTCCATGTATGTGCAATGTGATGGCATTCAAAGGGCAATAGAATTAAACAGACACCTACACAGTATAGGTTTATATTAGGACAGTGATGTGCAACATCCATCTAGAGGCATCCCAATGGACTCCTTTTTGGGGACCTTTATGACCCAATGTTTGGAGGACAGTGTTTTGTATGTGCAGGGGCTGCTGAATAATCATATTAGCAAGGAGTTGCTTTGTTTCTGAAATTACCCACATAGGCTCATTGGATTGTACTGAGTAGGTCCCAGCACAGAAGCTGTGGTTTTCCTTGTGGCAGCTGCACTAAGGGCTGCTATGTGAATGGATGAGAAGCACATGCGTCTGAAAGCTCAGCATCAGCACCAAGCTCCAGCATTTGTGGAGCTGCCCCTCCCTGCTAGTGCGGTACTTCCACCCACAGATGTCCTGATGACGTGGCAAAGATGCAGAAGAGACACAATTGTTCATCGTCGCTGGAATGTAGGTCAGAGTGGGGCAGTGGAGCTATACTTCCTCCAGAAATGGAGGTCAGAATGCCATGTCGTGTTATCTGGAGTATCTGCAATGCAACACTGTCTTCCACTAGTGCCACCAAAAACCACAGTATGGCTTTTCCACATCAGTATTCCATGCAGGTGATGTTTTGGGCTTCATACCAGTACTATCCATACAGAATGCAGCCGGATTGTCCGAGCCTGTGCTCCAGACAATTGGAGGATGTACTGAAGCTATGGGAAGCAGAGGGGCTTCTCTTTTTTGAAGGGGGAAAATGTTCAGATGCCACTGGCGACTGCAGTAGACAACAGAGGGAATGAGTTGCAAAATAGAGGTAGAGATTCAGCCATGTTAAGAATACATTTGCAGTGGCAATAATGGTAAGGCTGCATCACACTTGACAATGATCTTTCTTCATTCTCGGGACTTGGAGATCTCAGCATCATCATGTCAGCTGTCATGGTCCTTCTCTGCTGAGGCAAGGATTCCCTCCTTGTAAGGAATGTGGATACTGATGTTGAGCACCCCACCGCCCACCTTCACACTCCATTTCTTCTGGAATGGGACAAAGGTGTTATGGATCAGGCCACACCCTTACAAAATATTTTAAGAAGGTAGCCTAGACCCTAACTTTTCTTATTTTAAAGATAGATGTGAAGTGGGTGTTGCAAGTGTGGTGCAACTAGTCAAACCACTTGGCTTTAAGTAAAGCACAATTTATTTAAACACTACAGTTAAAACATGAACGAAAGAAAGCAGAATTTAGGATAACTTAACTATTGGAAAACTTAACCGAATACTTGATATAGTAACTTAACTAATTAACTGTTCCAATATAGTAACATCCCATAAACACACCCCTTGGCAAAAAGGTAAATTCAAACACCGGTTCCTACAGGCAGGAGGCAATAACGTCCAAAGAGCTGTAAGAGAAAATGAGTTAGGAATCATTTACTGAAACTTGCAACTCTCTGGTATTCAAAACATCTTGTGACTGCTACAGCTTAA